ATTCCAAATCAATATTTATTCTATCAACGCCTCCTTTATAAGGTAATGTTTTTCCTTTCTTTGCAGCCTATTAAATCGTTGACAAAAAATATATATATATTTAAAATATATAATTCATTTATTTAGAAATTTATTTAAATATATTTGTTTTTATAAAAATAAATAACTTACAAGATCACAGTTAATTATCCAAAAATTCGATTGTAATTGCCATGCTGATTCATGATGATCAATTCCCAATTCTTTTAAGTCTTTATATTTCATTTTTACAATATCTTGCCATCGTTTTCCCTCAAATAAAGGAGCATATTTGTCCATTTCGCAACCGCGTAACCAAGCAGGAAAATCTATAAAGTAATGTATAAAAATATTAAAGACGTATTATTATTATTATTATTATAAATGTTTGAAAACATAATTTTAAGAAAAGTTTTATCATACCTTCCAATAACTCATAATTAACTTCATCATAAAGATTCTTCTTATACCACTTAATTCGTCTGTTTATACGTTTTTCTACTTGTTCCAATTTTGAACATCTCTTACGTTTCTTCTTGGTGGGAACACTAGGTTTTGTATCAACGCTAGAACCTTCATCACTGTCATTTCCATTTTTGTTGGAAGGTGTAATGATTTTTTGCCATAAAGTTGGTTCAAGGATTCGATGATAAGGTTGAACTCTCTCTATGATATCAACTCTGGAAATTCGGAAATATTGAATATGAGGTAGACAATTTTGAAGAATAATCTTTAAAATATGGAAATCTTCATCAGTCCAAAGTTCAATACTTTTATTTAATGATGGATTTTGTGCGATTCCCCATCTAATTATAAGAATCCAAATTTCTCCTTCTTCCATAAGCAAATTATTGTTTTTTAAGATAGATACTAAAGCAACTTCAGAAAGAGCTGTAAACTCTTCTGAATCTATTGTTGTTGATGACGTTAAATCGTTTTCGACTGGAGATTCTTTAATATAATATAGTAATTTGAAAAGAAAATGAATACGATATTTTTAAAAGGCAGGACAACTTATTTCACATTAAATTGATTTACCTTTATCAACAATTTTAAGAGGCTTAGGAGAGGATTCTTGTATAATAGCATTTTCTGGTGATGAATTGCTTTCCATAGACAACTCTGGTTCTGATAATTCGTTTCATCGATATTAATATAATTAATACAAATTTAAATGAAACGCACACAGCAATATGTATATGTTTTACCTTGATTAGCGATTTCAGAAGGTTCCACAGGAGGACATTCATGTGGATCAGTAGTTTCTGACGATATATTGCTTTCAATAGATGGCTCTGAAATATAATAATTTAAACATAAGTTTAAATTTGAATTAATACAAAAGACTCTAACATAATCAAGACTATATCAAAACTATGAGATTATTTTTACCTTTATTGATGATTTCAAAAGATTCCACGGATAGATCCGTAGTTTCTAATGGTGTGTTGCTTTCAATTGAGGATTCTGGACATGATAATAATTTAAAATGAAGTGGTTAAAATTAAAAGTAAAGTGTAAATATGATGACTGAATAATTTACCTGGAATAATACTTTCAGAAGATTCTACAGGAAGATCAGTAGTTTCCAATGGTATATCGCTTTCAATAGATGGCTCTGAAATGATTAATATAATTTTTTAAGAAGAGGTTATTAAATTTGAATTTAAATTTAAATATCATGAATAATTAAATAATTTACCTGGAATAATAGTTTCAGAAGATTGTTCAAAAGATTCCACAGGAGGATCAGTAATTTCTAACGGTATATCGCTTTCAATAGAGGGCTCTGTACATGATGTGTCTAATATAATAATTTAAATGAGGATATTAAATTTAAAATCAAAAATTTTTCAAATTGATTGATTGAATAATTTACCCGGAATAGTATTTTCAGATGGTTGTTCAGAAGATTCTATTGGTATGTCGCCTTCAACAGAGTGTTCTGGACATGATGTGACTAATAGAATAAAATAATTTAAAATGAGATCATGAAATTTGAAATTAAAATGTAAATATCATAATTATTTGATTGAATCATTTACCCGGAATAATATTTTCAGAAAATTGTTCAGAAGATTCGTATATATCAACAAATTCATATGAAACAGTAGTTTCTTCTGGTAAATTGCTTTCTGCAGAAGGTTCTGAACATGATTCGACTGAAATAATAATTTAATAATAAATTTAAATTAAATTTAATATATAAACAACATGATTGAATACCTTACCTGGAATGATAATTTCATATTCTTCAAGAGAATGTTCGTCAGAAGGATCTAAAAACATGGCGTGATTGGTATTATAAGGATAAATTTAAATTTAAAGTAGAAATGACATGATGAATATTTTACCTGGAATAATAGCATCAAAAGATTCTTCAGGAGATTCAGGTAAATCGCTTTCTACGTAAGGCTCTGAACATGATTCAAAAAAAAAAAAAAATCTTTTTTAAATTTAATAATGAATTCAACGAGTATAATTAATTAATGTAATGTAAATACTTTACCCAAATCGATAACCTCTGATTTTGAAGAAAGTTCATGAACACTATTTGATAAAATATCTTCGACTGAAGGTTCTGAATGTTCATATGAATTGACATGATTTGAAGGTTCTGAAGGAGACTTATGTGAATTAACATTTTTTGGTGATGATTTATTTTTGATTGAAGGCTCTGAACATAGTTAAGTCATTAAAAAACGTGGTTAGTGTGAAAAAAAAAAAAAAAAAATTTTAATTATTAATAAAGTAAGTCCTTACCTGTATTAACACCATTAGCAAGCTTGCTTCTACCGGAAGGCTCTAAGATGATATGTATGTATGTATGTATGTATGTATGGTAAATTAAAAGACGAATACAAATTAAAAAAAAAAATAAATATTAATATAAATATTTTACCTTTTTTAACATTTTTTGAGGGTAATTTATTTTTATTTTGAGTTTGTTTAGTTCGTCTGTTTGTCGCTTTATAACTGTCATTAGCAGCTTCCTTATTCCAAAATTTAGCCTTCTTAATGTCCTTTTTTGTTCCTTTTCCTTTTTCATAACATGAAGCAAGACTTTTTTTACCATCGGTAGAACCACCTCTTGCAGCTTGTTCGAATAATAAAAATGCTTTTTTAAGGTCTTTTTCGGTTCCTATTCCAAATTCATAACAATAACCTAACCGATACATTCCCATAATGTTTCCTAAGCTTGCAGCTTTTCTAAAATGTTGAAAAGCATTATGATAGTCCATCGGAGCACCTTCACCTAAATAATAACAAATTCCTAAACTTGTAAGAGCACCAATACTTCCATTGTCGGCGGCCTTTTGATACCATTCAAAAGCCATTCTACAATCTTTAATTGTTCCACGACCCAAATAATAACAATCACCAACTAAATCTTGAGCTATGAAGAAATCTTTTTTAGCTTCAGAAAGATATAAACTATAAGCTTTACGAAAACTAGGTTTTGTTCCTATTCCTTTAGAATAAAAGTAACCTAAAAGGGCAGTGTATTCAGGTCTATGTGTATTGTTTAAAAGACATTCAAAAATTTGTTCTACATTCTGATTTTGTGATTTTAAATAATCGGTAAAAAGTTTACAAGTGGTTGTGTCAGGTTTACCACGTTGCCTTGCTTCAATAAAAATTTCACATAATTCATCAACAAAACCTCGTAAAATATCATTTAAGTCATGACTTAAATTATTTTGAAGAAAATGAGGACTTGGTGGAGCACTTGAGGATACGATGGAAGCCTTTCGACTTGAGGCTTTCGGAAAATTAATAGTAAGTAATTCCGAAGTTTGCATATTTATCGTTGTTTTTTTTTCGTATTTTTTTGCTTTAAAAAAAAATAGTTGATTTTTATGACTTTAACTTTTTGACAAAAAGTTTCAAATTTTTATAAACAGAAAAAAAAAAAAAAAAAGTCTTTTTAATTTATAAAAAAAGAAAAAAAAAGCATTTACAAAAAAACCACTTAGTTTTAAATTAAACTAAGGAAACTCATATTTCATTTTGCGTACAAGGAGTTTACTAATAGGCTTTATGATTTTTTTTTTTAGAAAAAGTCGTGACTTTTTATTTTCAAACTTTGTGTGAACAGTATCAATATTAATGCGGTTAATGCAGCCATATTTACTTAGATGCATTACACAGAAGTATTATTCTTATAACTTTCGATGAATAAAAAAGCAACATATATCAAGAGCAGAACTTTTGCATTCTGCATACGCCCATTGTCATCTTTGTTTATTACTCTCTAATTCTCCGAGATCATCCATGAAACGGCGTACGTGCGTACACATCCCAATTTATTAATTATATAACGATAGTGCTAGGCGAGTGACCATAACGTTAAATCTAATTATGATAACTTGCAGGATTCAATTAAACTATTATTGACAAAATTGATTAAAAGTTCTGGATTTCTGGCTTCGTGAAAAGTTAAACAACCACTAAAAGGTATAAAAGACACGAGTCAAAAGAACTTTGAACAACGGCATAATAAAAATGTCATCATAAATTGAAAAAATAGAAAAGGTTTGTTTCTCACATTACACATATAATGCATATAATGCGTCTTTAATGCTTTGTGAAAGAGTATTTATATTCAACTACTATTCAATTACGTCAGCTTGAATTATTAATAATGAATCGCGAGGTTTAAAGTGAGATGATCTTATTATAAGATCTTATTATAAGAGATAGAAGAGATAGAAGAGAAGTGGAAGATTAATTATTATTATGAAAATAAAAGATCAAACAGACTCAATCGACTCAATCGAGTTCGCGGTTAGTATATTTTATATTTACTATTTGGATGGAGCTTAATATTTGGGAGCCTAATATTTGGGAGCCTAGTATTTGGGAGCCTAATGTTTATGATACAAATCAATTTTATCATAAATGCGTACAAAGTAATAGTACGTGCGTGCGTACGCACGCAGTAATGCCGGCGTAATTATATTGTCACGACTCAGTTTCATCTAATATTAAAACCGGTTTGCTTATAATTTTTTATATTGTCGTAATAACTAAATTACTACAATACACTTTTCTACAATACACTTGCACCACATTATACTCACGTACGTACGTACGTACATATGTACGTAAGTTTGGCTTAAAAAAAAAAAAAGATTTCTTACAATGTAGAATTCAAGATCACAAGCTTTTTGATATATTAGGAAAGAAAAAGATCATAACATTTAAGAAATCGGCGAAGACGCCATTTTTTATTAAAATAAAAAATAAAAAAAATAAACAAGAAAGAAAAAAACGAACAAGACGTAAAATACGAGTTTATTAATACAGTGATCTCGATTTATTCAAGGTTTTGCTTTAACAGCTAGCGTAGATAAGTGCGTCCGTGTGTATGTGCGTACGACATTAACCATTATTAAATACTAAACTTACCAAGAATTTAATTCTCTAATTAATCGTATTGATCACAAAGGAGATCAAGCTGTGGCAAAAACTTTAATTTTTTATTTCCGCAGATACGAGAATAATATATTATGTCTACTATTATGTAAGGTTTATTACTATCCTCATAAAGTTTATTACAAACCATTGATCTCCTCTTGTATGTATGATTTTTTTTTTTGTGCAATTACTATTTGTCATTATTTCTGTCATTATTTCTGTCATAATTTCTGTCATTATTCTTGTCATTATTCTCAAGAAATTTTAAAATATCTTAGGTGTTATTATTTATAATTACATAATATAATACAATTTTTTGATAGGTATCACGATAATAAACATGAAAATCACTCAGTCCTTGGATGGTAACCAATCCAGAATCTTGGAAGTATGTTAAACTACTCCTATAAACCTCAGCTATGGGTCATGATGATTTTTAGCAATAGCTTTGACTATCTGACTAGTCTGACTAGCCTGACTAGCCTGACTAATTTGGCTAATGATAAAATTAATTAGGGTTTGGCTAAAGTTGAAAAGGTCATCTGACAAAATGGCAAAGAGTTTTCTATATTTAGACTAAGGCTGACCTACGTGATGTGTCAAAGCCATCATGGGCCGGGTTATATAAGCTAGCCCATTTAAGTTTGAATACATATCGGACATAAGGGTCTTAAAATTCGAATATTTTTTGTTATTATTAAATGTTACGGGTTCCTGACAATAGCGATAAGGGGGTTTTACAAATAATGTAGTTTGAATGTGCAATTGTGATTAGTTCATTCTCAAATTACATAAATAATTACTAATTACAATTGCAGTGTTTTGCAGTATTTTTACGGCAAGCTGCGTCACCCAATAATAACGCCAGAAGATGATCAAAATTAAAAGTAACGATAATGATATTCTTTGTTTTGGGAAAACATTAAATTTAACCAATAATGATACCCAGCTCAACTATTTGTCTGATTCCTGGAACATAGGTGACCTGTGATACTATTGGTGAGGGAAAGTACGACACAGATGTTATTGCTAGCGATCAAATATGTGTGGATCACTATGTAAGGATCGTTATTATGTAAGAATCAATGGCCGTATCGATGTTACTGATCTGGATATCCGAACATATAAAAAAAGCATCAAATTCTTCTTGAATACGTATTTTTTTTTTATTCGGTATGAGATATCAATTTCTTACTTTGATTGTATATTTTTGTTTATTGTTATTCTTGTCTAAATCAAATATATCTGATATAGTTAATTTGAATTGGTTTTGATTTTGTTATAAATATTTATTAATTAATTAAAAATTTAAATATTAATTTCAAACTTGCTAGATTATTTTTATTTGTTGTTTTAGATAATCTTATGCTTATTAGCAACTTTTTGATTAATACTCTTATTATATATTAACTAATTTAAATACGAAATGTTTTTGTTTACTTAAAATATTTGTATAAATTTATACGGATATATTAGAAATCTTGTATTTATCTCTGTAACCATTGTTTATGCCATTTTTATTATTCCGTATATTTAACTTTGTAATAAGAATATTAATCTAAGTCTTTAAATTTTGTATACATTTAAATTGATTTTTTTTATGGATCTCGAAGTTATAGATGACCTTTGATCAAACAATAAAAACAATAATCTAATTTTTGAAATTTATACGTATAAAGATCAAATTTTGTCACACTATGCTTAGATATTCAAATTCATAATTAAGATAATTAAGTCGTGTCTGACTTGGCCAAATTTAAATCGAAATTATTCATGATTTTTTTATTTCAAGAGAGATCCTAGCATAATTTTTGTTAAGCAATACTAGTAAACTTCTATCATTTTAACAAAATTATAAGATTGGAATCGAACTTAATTTTTATATTCGAATTAATTTGAATAATTCACACATAAAATTCGAATTTATTTATTAGAATAATTTAATAACAGTTAAGCTGTAGAACAAGGCCGTTAAGATATTTTCAAACAGTAATGATTAAACCGTTAGAACAATTTTATAATGGTTAGACTGTTAACCCAATTTTTATAGTTGTTAACAATTTTATAACGGTTAGGCCGTTAGAACAGTTTTATAACGATTAGACCCATGAATATTCAAATTTAATTCGAATCTCTAACATGAAAGTTTGTATTTAATAAAGTGGACTATGCCTTCGTTAGCCGCCCAGGATTCTAAGGCTGAGTAATCAAATTTTTGGCAATTATTATACATATATATACATATTGATAATACATATTGATATACATTTGCTGCTATGTTTTTACATGCATCATAATAGAGTACAGCTGTTACAGCCGCTCCTTCATTTATTTAAATTCATCTTAATACCGATACTATGTTAACAATAATGAAAAGATTTAAAAGAAAAACGATATATTTATCTTTCATCCTATTAATCATAATACGGTTATGCATAATTTTTTTGTTTCCGATTTTTTCCTATCATTTCAGTTCTAAATGTTTAAATTCTACCCTTGGTTTTGATCATATTTATGTTATAAACCTAGAATATCGAACTGATAGACGTGAAAAAATGGAAGCTATCGCAAATCAGCTTAATTTAGATTTCGAGTTCTTTCCCGCTGTTTCAAAATATGACAGAAAAGAACTTGACAAATTTAATTCTGGTCAACTTTTAACCTCTGTTAAAGCATGTTATGTTAGTCATTACAAAGTATACCAATCAATTATAATGAATGGTTATGGTAATGCCTTAATTTTAGAAGATGATGTAGATATCGAAATGAACATCGTGAATATAATGACTGATATCTTACTTGCTTTACCTACCGATTGGGAAATGTTATACCTTGGCCATTGTGGTTATGAAAGGTTTGGTGAAGGTGTAGGTGGTTCTGATAAACACAAAATTTACAAGTCTAACAGACCAGGATGTACTCACGCTTATGCCGTTTCATATATTGGTGCTAATAAGTTATTAAAAGAGCTTGTTAACCCACAAGCGCCAATTGATATGGAAATAATTGAAAAAATTCAACAAGAAGTTATCATCTCTTATAGTTTTCAGCCACAGGTTATTGTACAGTGGAGGTCTAAAGATAATCCATCAGACGTCTCACCTGGTACACCTGAACACTCTTATCCTTTGGAAAATTCTACATTACATTTTCTTGGATTTCCCTGGAGTTTCAAAAATGAATGAACACTTTTAAAACAGTAAACATAGAAATAATTTGATGTCTTTTTAAAAAAGAGTATATAGACTTTTTTTATTAAAAAATAAAAAGTAAAAAAACACACACACACATATATATATAATATGTAATGAAGATATCAAATTATATGTAATCTTATGATAGTATTTTACGATTTACGTACGTACGTACGTACGTATGTATT